AAAGATATTAATTTCTTTTTTCCTTATGGTTGGCTTGGATTGTGATGGTCTGCCCAGAAACTGGTGCTTGGGCAGATTGGGTTTTTCCTTTCTTGTTCTCCATGTGTGACAGTGGTGTTTGCTGCTCTCTAGTGGTRCCAGCTATGAGACTGTGTGCACAGCAAAATGAGAACCTAGTTTCTCGTTATTGTATATGTATTTAATTTTAATTTTTATATATATATATATGTGTGTGTATCTTTTAAAATTTATGTTTACACAGCTTCCTCCTGCCATGACAAGTCTAAACCTTGTACCTACACAAATCCAGCATTTAAGCTGCCCACATTGCCCCAGCCCCAGCAGGGAGGCAGGAGGAAAGCCCCTCATTTTGTTGTGTTTAGGTGATGTGTTATGTTGGCAAACATCTTTCCAAGTGTCTTCCTTGTACACCACACGGCCAGAACCACGGGTGAAATGCTCACTCTATGCTTCCCCACACACCTCAAAGGAGGGGAGATACCAAACAGCTTCAGGAATGTTCTGGATCCAGCCCAAGGCTGTGCTCTGCGTCACTTTTTAGTCTTTAGGCGTTATTAGTTTTCAGGGTGTGTGTCGTAAGTGACAGGCGAGATAAAAGCTGAGGAAAGATCAAAGAGGGTTGCATGGTTTTTATGGCTTTGTGCTTCTTGGTTTCACTTTCATGTGTCTCCCAGAGCTTTTCTTCTCTCCCCCTGTGCTGCCCTTTCATCTCCTTTCCCGTTTCCACCTTGGAAAAGGTGAACCTCTCAACCTGGGGCACCATTTGTGTGCTTGACCCCTTTCTTTCAGCCCCCAAACCTGAGCAATGCTGTGTTACTTTAACCCAGGACAACTCCTTTCAGTATCGATTCTTTCAGCTGCTGAGATTTATATCATTTTCAGAAATTGGGCTGGAGTTTCTCTGTCTGTTCTGGGAGTGAGGTTCTGACAGTCCAGAGTGCTGAGTCAGGAGTCTGGTACCAAGAGAAAAGTTGCCAAGGGGCTTTCCAAGAAGAGGGCTGCTCATTTTCTTGGTATTGCATCTTCCTTCTCAGTGAAGCCTGAATTTCCCCTCCTTACCATGTGCATTTCTACTTGCTGCTGGAGAGCAGTTGCTCTTGGTTGTTGTTTTTTTTTTTTTTAATATTAAAAGCTCTACTCCTATGGTGGCTTGTGGGTGAAATGTGGGGAAAGCATCTTGCCCAAGGGAAAAAAGTGAGGAGACACCTTGCAGAAAGAGGAAGTGCCTCAAAATGTGAAGTGGACATTAATGAAAATAATGGCTCTGGGGGTAAGCCCAAGCGTGATGGTTGAGTTTGGGTCCATTCCTGTTTTTTTTATCCTTGTGTGTGGTTGAAGACAGGCACTGTTTTTCCATGGATGACCTCCTGTCTTCTCATTTAACCAGTAGAAAATGGGTCAGGGCCATGTTTAACTCTACCAGAAATAATAGTTATGGGTTATTCTGTGAGTAATGTGGAGACAGCTTAATTGTGGACTCAACTAAARTGGAAACCACAAATAATTGGAAAATATAAAATGTTTAACCAGACTCTAACCGAACTTGTAGCTGCATTTATCAAGATGTCARACTCCAAGGGGAGGTGGAGGAGACTTTGCCATCACATCCTTGGGGAGGTTGGTGCCAGGACTGTTGCCACGTTCTTACTTGACTGTGCTGCCCAAATAGGAATAACTCAGCTCCAGAAATTGCAGCTTTTGAGTTCAGCAGAGACTTCCCAGCTTGTGAAGCTCAGACTGGGTGTAGCTGGAGGAGTTTCCAGGAGCGTGTCTTGGTTTTGTGAGTAGWCCTGGAGTGCTTCTTCAGCAGCCCCAGAAGGAAGTGCTCAAAGCCAGAGACCTTCCAGCCGGCGGGGATTGTAGAACATGGGRTTGAAATCAGGTTGGCACAGCTCACTTATAATGCCCCCAGCTGCTGTTCATTGGTCCCCTCCTGTCACAGGAGGATCATTTCATCATTCTCCTCCTCCTCATCTCCCTCCACACTGGGCTGGAGCTGTCACTGTCACASCATGCCCCGATGCAAATGGCCAACTGTCACACCATGTCCCCGCTGGCTCGGGGCACCTGCAGTGTCTAGACCGGTTCCTGTGTCCTCATGCAAATGTGTGGGGTGGGAGCTGAGCCCATGAACCCGGTGACACTGTCTGGGAAAACTCTTGGGTCCTGTTCCTGCTGCACATCCTCTGTGCCATTGAGGAATGACCCTCTGTTGGGTTTGTTTTGGGGTAACTCACACCAGAAATGAGTGGAGAGCTCAGGAGCAGTGAGGGGATGTCGGGGTGTTCTCACAGTGCTTTTCTGCCAAGCTGGTCTCACATTCTGGGGGTTTTCTCCTGTGTGTTCTCTGTGCCATTTGCATGTCTGGGGTGGCCAGCATGTCCCTGCTCTGTGGCTGGGTGGTGACAATGTCTGCTATTGCTATCCCCTCTGCAGAACACTGCTCCATATGGCTCAGGATTGACTGACAAGGCAGGAATATTTAAAGTTTTCTTCAATTTCTCTTGTTCTTGCTCTTCTCCATCTTCCTTATCGGATCTCTTTCGAAGCTCCCTCTTACCATATTCCCTTCTTTAGCCCTCAACACACCAAATACTTTTAAAGATGCCATAGCTGGTTTCTCACCTGCTCGCAGAGGTGTCATCACACCACTCTRCTGTCTCCAAAAATGAGCCAAACCCAAGATTTTGTCCCCTTGCATCACCAGCAAGTCGTGCATCTTCACTTGAAGACAGCCAGTAACAGTGAGCTTGATGTGTTGTTTGCCCAAGCTAATTTTGGACTGATTTCGTTAGCCTTTGGCTAATTCTGGTGCTTTCATGTTGATGCTGAAATATGTGTGGGTTTCAGGTTTCTCGGGTTTTGGCAGGAGGCATCTTYATCTTTGAAGCAGGTGATGTACCACAAACCACAGTGGTGAAGAATCACTGCACTTGGGGGTTTTGGGGGATAATTTAAAAAAAAAAAAAAACCCACAGCTTTTTTGGTTTTGTTTTTTTTTTTTCCTTAGTGAGTTGTGGGGAAAGGAGGGGTGAGCTGAAAAWTCACTTTCTCTCAGCACAAGGAGAGTTAATGGTTTCAGCATGACTCTTGTGAATCTCYCTRTAGGGCTGGAGAGCTGGCATCTTGRTGGCACTGAAATCAGGGTTAGGTTTCTGCCCGTCCTAGTGAAAAGATTTTCCATGTGGCTTTTAGGAGCTGCTTGCACAATTTTTGTTGGAGGTCTCTGATGTAGGTACCATGGCAGGGATTTGGCAGGTGTAAAAATACAACAAAAATCAAATTAAATTAGATAAAAAATGACCAAAATCTAAGTCTTGCCTGCACAGGGGCAGCTGCTGCAGAAAATAGAGAAGCTGTGAGGGTGCTTTTTATGTGTTTCATTTGATGCTAGCCTGGATGAGGCCACACATCACTRCGTGAGGGCCACTCTTCTGAATTCCTGGCATCCAGGAAGCAGTCAGCTTAAATATAGYCATGGGTCAGATCCTCTGTCTGCTTCTCCCTTTGCAGAATTACCACTCATTGTGCAGAAATTTTGGCCATGGCTGCAGCATTTCCTTCTGAGAAAACACCACGGTGTTCATCAGTTACACATTGAAACCCCCACTGCCCTGTGCCCACAAATCAGGGGCATGATCTCACTCACYTTGGTCTGTTCATTGCATTTATCCAGGGATGGTTTTCTTTGTGTGCCCATTTCATTGAAATGCCAGTGGTGCTGTTGGGTTCCTCCAGTCCTGGGTGAGCACCAGCTCGATGATCCAACTCCATCCTTTCCACTGGGGAAAGGTGTTTYCACTTCACTTGGTTTTTGCCCAGCTCTAAAAAGCAGGATCATGTTGAAGRCAGGAACTTCAGAAATATTTTCACATGTCTTTTATGCCTCCATAGCAGTTTATATACGTGACCAGTCTCCTGATAAATTGCTGGTTTTCCTGTTATTTCTTCCAAGAGATTTCTGCCACAATTTGGCAAAGCCAATCTTTGGTTGGGTTCCTTCTAATAACTCTCTGCAAGGAAATTGAAAACTGAAAGGCTTGAACAAAACCCAGTTTTAAGGCAATCTCCTCTTTCACTGCCATGGCAGCTCTTTCTTTCCMTAGGACTTTGGGAATAGCTCATGGAAATTGTCCTTGGTCTCTCTGTGACTTGCTGTACAGAGTTAAACTCCTCAGTCATCTCTTGGACAAACACTTCACAAGACCTATTTTAGAGGAAGAAAACAGATTATCCAAGAGACATGAGTAGCTTGAGTGGAAGACTTTTTTTTTAATTTACCCTTTTGTTGCTATATAAAATGCTGATTTGAAAGCTCCAAATTACAACATAACCACACAATCACATCTCTTTTCTTCTGCCCTCTTCCTTCCTCCTCGCCTCACCCCTTCCCSCTTTGCTTCCTGACTGGTGATTTTGCTGACTTTATTCAGGGCAAAGCCTCCATCCCACCAACACCTGAGAGCATGGGGTGCTCCTTTGGCCATCCTGAGTGTGTTACTTGCCCAACCAAGTGTGAAATTTGAAAGAACTGAGTGGAAGGATAGAGCAGAGRGATCGTGATTGTTTTTCCACAGCACGGCATGAGGTGTTTTCACTGATGAGAGAGGCAGCAAAAATAGTGTGGGGAAAATATAGCCCCAAGAAAGAAATATGTAAATRTCTGAGCACACTAAAAACCCCCCTGCTTAGTCAGGGGATTGAGCTCTGTTTTTATTCTGAGCTTTTTTTGTGGTTGAGGGGTAAATGCTCAAGGGAATGAAGGGTCATGTGGGTACAAACCCAACAGAAGCGAGGCATGGGGATGACTGGGGGCAATCCAAATGTTGCACTCTGTCCCAATGGGTATTTTAATGAATAACATTTACAACTGAGCTTTTGGGCTGGCCATGGGGAGCATCTGAGAAATGACATCACCTCTGTGTGACTGCTGAGGTGTGAATTGCATGCCTGTGTTGGACTCTGACCCTCCCCAATAAATAGGGGAGTGTGTGCACCCAGTTCTGTGCAGCATCTCTGGGGCTGAGCCTTCCCTGAGGATGGGAGCACTGGCTGGGGTGGGGACGGGAGCTCCCCTGCTCCCATGGCTGCTGCTGCTGCTGCTGGTGATGTCCCACTCTGCCCATGCAGGTGAGCTCCTGCTGGCTTTGCAGGGGAGCTTTCAGAGGGACTGGGGGAGCTTGGGATCCTCCTGCACCCAGTGGGACTGGGGGAATTTGGGATCCTCCTGCTGCATCCTGCACCCAGAGGGACTGGGGAGCTTGAGATCCTCCTGGAGCATCCTGCACCCACAGGGACTGGGGGAGCTTGGATCCTCCTGGTGTGTTCTGCACCCAGAGGGACTGGGGGAGCTTGGGATCCTCCTGGTGTATTCTGTACCCAGAGAGACTGGGGGAGCTTGGGATCCTCCTGGTGCATCCTGCACCCAGAGGGACTGGGGAGCTTGGGATCCTCCTGGAGCATCCTGCACCCAGAGGGACTGGGGGAGCTTGGGATCCTCCTGGAGCATCCTTCACCCACAGGGACTGGGAGAGCTTGGGATCCTCCTGCCTGCTCAGCCAAGGATTTTCCTTGTAGCCAGGGTAAAGTGTGACCATACTTTGCTTTTTGGGAGCTGTGTGGGAACGGGAGCCGAGGTGGAGGCACAGATAGAAGCTTCTCCCTGCAGTTCCTGCAGCACTGTCATGGGAAGGGAAGCTTCCTTTGGCTCCTGGGATTGCTGCATCCCTAACAGTGCTGTGTGTGCCTGTAAGCTGCCAGCTTCTCTCTCTCTCTCAGCCATCCTGGAGGTGAACGGGAACCTGAGCTGTAGGTGTGCCAAGACAACCTCGGGGTACATCAGTCCCAAGAAATACGAGAGCATTGAGATAAGGCCGGTGGGCAGCAGCTGCAGGCGCACGGAGATCATGTAAGTGCCGTGGGTTTCTGCTGCTGCCAGCATCCTGCTTCTCTGCTCCCTTGCTGGAACCTAAACTTTTCAAAAAAATGCCACCAGCTCACTGCTGAGAAACATCAGGTGCACACATGCAGGTCCCCAGGGCCTAAAGGAATTTTTCCAGCAGGGTAAAGTGTGATTTCCTTGTGCTGGAGTGGGGGCTGTTTGTAGCTTGGGGTAAGCACTTCCTCCAGACACTTGAGGCAGCATGAGCCATAAGGAATTTTCTCAGATTTTTGTAGCTGTCTGGTGTTGATACATTTGTAAATCTCCAGAAAAAAATGTCTTTGAACAATGTTCTGGGCTTCTCTGCGCCGCCGTGTTGCATCTTTCTTGTTCCTGGCCAGGCTGCAGCTTCCTCTGTCTCTGACATTTTTCTGATTGCTGGTGCTGTGAGTGAAAGCTCATTGCCCATTAGCTCTGGCTGCTTGAATCCCTGCCTTTGGAGGAGATAGGAATGCTCAGGAGMTCTCGTTGCGTTTCAGAATTAAGTTAAGATCCTCAGGGAAGGTGTGTGTGGATCCTGAAGCCCCTTGGGTAAAGAAGCTGCTGCAGCGCATTGCCAGCACGTAAGTTGTTTGATGGGAACTCTTTTGGCTCAGGTGGCCCTGGACAGTGTCCCAGCACATCAAGGGTTCTAGAAAGTTCTCCTGGGCCCAACAGCTCTCAGAGTGACTGCTKATGTCCAAAGGAATGAGGGGCAAATCTTTGCTGTCCAGAGCAGCATTCAGCCCAGAATGTCCCACCCATGGGTCACACTCTCCCTTGCTCATGTACGGTGCTGTGCTTCCAAAACATTTTGGGGAAAAACCATGGGGGGAGCTGTGGCAGGAGCAGGGTTTGCTCATGGCAGGTGCAGTAGTGTGTCGATGCTGGGCTGGGAAAATTGCCCTTCTTGGTTGCCCCTTGTGGCCATCCCAGTGAGCAATGCCCACCCCAGGAAACAGCAGCGACTTCCCTCGGCTGGGGCAGGAGCTTCCTCTCCCGGACCCGCTTTTTCTCTGCGCTCACACGTTTCTCCTCCTTCTGCTTTTTGCAGGAAGAAAAAATAAGTTTCCTGCTAAGGAAGTTGCTGCCCAGAGCCCCGAGGTGGGCTGGCGGATGATGCCCAGGTGTGCAGACCTGTGCTCCCCACTTTGCCCTSGCTTCTCCCCTCTTCCTGAAGGGTCCCATGTCTGGTTCTGGTGGCAGTGGGGAATGTGACTCCTGGCCCCAGCCCCACAGCAGGTTCATGGAGGGTTTTCCCAGCATTTGGTCMTTGGATCAGCATGAATGTGAATCCTTCATTTATTTACCTGCCTGTGGACTGTGAAGCCGTTCCCTGTCAGGGGCTGCTCCTGCTTCTTTAGGAATGACTTTGTGACTCTTTCCATGTGAAGTGCTCAGTGACAGAGTGTKTGCTGGGGGTTCTGTGGCACAGCGTGGCGTGTCCTGTCCCAAGAGCTCAAGTCCAATAAAATCCATGGTTTTTCCTTCTGTTGTATTTTCACTGGGTCTCCTAGCTTTGAAGCAATATATGACAGAATCATAGGACAGCTTGGACTAGAAGTGACCTCAAGGGCTATCTTGTCCCACCCTGTGCCATGGGCAGGGACACTTTCCACTATCCCAGGCTGCTCCAAGCCCTGTCCAACCTGTTCTTGGACACTTCCAGGGATCCAGGGGCAGCCACAGCTTCTCTGGGCACTCTGTGCCAGGGCCTCACCACCCTCACAGGGAAGAATTTCTCTCTATTATCTAATCTAACCCTGCCCTCTGTCAGTGTGAAGCCATCCCCTCTTGTTCAGGGGTCCTCCCTGTCATAACCTGTTGTCTCCCTCAGTGCTGATTTGAGGGCAGATGYTGCTGGCAGGGAAATGGGTTGATCCAGCCAAAATGTTCCACATCCAAGTGATGGAGCTGGGATTTTTTAAAGCTGTAAGGCTTTAAAAAGCAGTCCAGGCCAATAAGGAAATATCTCGGGCATGGGTGYGAGGTCACTTAGCAGAGTTTTGGGGTGAAGAATCAAAAGCGAAAGTCACCAGAGCACTGCTGGGCTGTGCCTTGTAATGGGACAACGTGGCTGTAGGAGAAATGAGTAATATCTGATCATGCAGGACAGAAAAGCACCCCAGAAAAACTCTGGGTTCATGGGACTGTGTGCGCTAAGAATAAAGYTGGAGGAAACAGCAAAAAAAGGAAGGGGAAAACAGGCAGTTTCGGGAAGGCAGGCCCCTGCCAAGCCCCAAGCCACATTTTCTCGTCAGCAGGGAGCAGGGTCGGGCAAAACCACATCGACCCCGGGGCCTCCCGTGCCGCCTGACTTCTCCTATTTTCGGTCTCAAATAGCGGGATGCAGCCAGGGCTGGGGCTGGGGTCAGCATGGCTCTATGGGTGGCGTTGCTGCTGGGGATGCTGCTGGTGACCCACCACCCTGGGGACACAGGTGAGGCTCCCTCGGGTGGCTTTGGGGATGCTGGGGGCTGTTGAGGTGGGTGATCCTGCTGGGATGTGGCGGGAGATGCTTTGCCCAGGGAGGTGAGCCGTGGCCGTGTGCCCCTTCAGCGATCCTGGAAGCCAACGGCAACCTGAGCTGCCGCTGCCTCAAAAGCACCCGAGCCTTCATCTCCCCGCTGAAATACAGCAGCATCGAGGTGTGGCCCGCGGGGAGCAGCTGCCGGCGCCTYGAGGTGGTGTAAGTGGCTCCCCTCTGCTCCCCCATCTCCCCAGAATTGTGTCAGTTTGGTGCTGTTTTCTTTGTGAGAAGGGTGGGAGGCTCAGCTGTCTGCAGGGGGAGAAGTGACCTTGCTGAGAGGCCGTGTGTTTTCTAGGATTAAACTAAAGAGCCTGCAGAGGGTCTGTGTGGATCCAGACACCCCTTGGGTGAAGAAACTCTTGCAGGACCTCCCTCACCTGTAAGCTTCCCCTTCCCCCCAGGGGATCCAGTGGGACCAGGGCCATCCCGTGGGAACCTGTCTTGACACGTTCCTCCCCTTTTAGCAGGAGGAAGAAAAAGGTTCCCTGAGGAACCTGAGGAAGCTGCTAGCAGAGGCATGGCCAGATGTGCTGGGGCCAAACTGCCTCTCTTCCCCATCCTGCTGTCACCTTACCCCAGTTCAGAGGGAGAGCACACTGCTGCCTGAGCCCTTCTTTATGCCTTTAAACCCTTAGAAATGTCCATCCCTGCTTCCAGCCTCTCCCATCCCATAGCGATGTGCTGGATGTCCCATTTGGGTGTGACCTGGCAGGCCCAATAAAGGTGCCAACCCTCTGTCACTGTCCCTTGCATCCTTTCCTGTGGCATGCCAGGAGCTTGGGATGCTTGGGGTGGGTGGCATGGAGAACACCAGACTGGCTAAAAACATGGGAGCTTTGAGGAGGTGGCCATGGCAATTTCCACCTTTTTTGGCACGGAGGCAGCACAGGCCACGTGCGACGTGCGGAAGCRATGGCAGAGAAGTTGAGGCGTGGGGCAACCCCATTTCCCCCCGCTCTGGCCCTTCCCAGCTGTGAAACTCCCCCTGGAGAGAAGGGTTGGCTATAAAGCAGGGCTGGCTATAAAACAGCCCTGGCATAGCTGGGGGTGGGCAGCGAGGATGCGGCTGCTGCCGGCGGCGCTGGCCCTGCTCCTGCTCCTGAGCAGCTCAGATCCAGGGGGTGGTGAGTGGCTTTGGGTGTCCCTCTCCAACACCTGGACAGTGGCATTGGGTGTCCCACATGGGGCTGAGAAGGGGCTCTGCTAAGCTTTCACATTTGTTTCTTGCTATCCTTGAGTTTGTATTTTAAACCCTGTGGCTGAGCTGGAGGGGGATACTGAGGGTGGATTTGCTTCCTGGGTTTAAGCTGCTTCTCTTCCAGCCCCCTCTAAAATTCACTGTTTGGTGGGTGGGCAGTGGGTTTGATTCATAAAATGTTGGTTAAGTTTTCCAGCTTTGCAGCTAAAACCCCTCCATATACAAGAAAAGAAGCTTTGAGGCCGTGCTGGGAGGGATTAGCCTTTCTGCAAAACCCATTAGCAGCAGCCCGTGGGTGTCRGGAAAGGGATGGGATAGTGGGGAGGGGGTGTCTGTGGAGGGCCGAGATTTGGTGTGGGCTGCCCTGGGGCACAGGTGTGTCACTGGAGAGCCTGCTGACCAACATGAGGTGCAAGTGCATCAAATCCACCGCCCACGTCATCAACCTGGGCCGCATCCTCACCATCGATGTCACCCCGCCGGGCATTCACTGCAGGAGGAAGGAGATCATGTAAGTGCAGAGCCTGGAAACAATTCCTTTTGTGCASTGGTGTGAAAGTACATGGGGTGGGGAAGCCCATAAATGTTGGGGTGACTCTTGCTTCCTGATTCAAAGGGGAGTTCTCCTGGCGTGGCTCATGGTGYTAAGGTAAAGGCCCCAAAATCCGTGTCTCTGCTGCCCAGGGTTTGTATCTGTGCCGAGGGAGCAGAGGGATTTTCTCTGTGGGTTACAAAAGCTTTGGGAAAGGGGTGTGTGTGGTGCTGAGGGGTCTTGTGGCCTTGCAGCCTCACCCTGAAGAAGAACAGGAGGGTGTGCGTGACCCCCGAGGCGCCCTGGATCCAGCTGCTCATCCACAAGCTGATGCAGGGGTACGTGATGTCCATCAACTGGAAAACACCAGCATCTCCAACGCCTTGGCAGGACCATCCCTTTCCCCTGACCCTTCTTTTCCTTTCTTTCCTCCCACAAAACCTGCAGGAGCAGCACCAAAAAAGCGTTGTGGCGGCCACGCCGGGAAGCACCGTGCTGCTGGAGACCCCCYACCCCATCCCTCCTGCCTTCCAGATCCAAGGAACCCACGGTTCTGAATTCCCCGTGGGACAGCAATGCCACAACCYCCCTGCCCTGAGAGGAGCTGGGTTTAGTGGCACAAGGCTGGCACTTCCTCTGCTCCTGGGTTTTGGGACGGGCACAGGAGCTTTTCCCTGCTTCCCCCCAACAAAAGCTTTTTCCTCCCGCTGTTTCGGGTGCCTGTGCTGTTCCCACATGTAMCCACAGCCCATCCCATGTGCCACCAATAAAAGGATCAATGTGCTTCCCCCTTGGCTGTGGCAGCTCCTTCTGCCCGGATTGGTGTAAAAATTGRCATTTTTGGGGTGGGGAGTTAGGTCAGACTGTGGCACTGTGAAGTCCTTGGCTGCTGTGCCAAGGATGCTTGTGAACGCTCTGCTTTCCTCTGCTCCAGGATTTGGCATCTTTTTCTGACAGGTCCTGGCAGGTACTGCAGGATTTGGATAGGGTCTGTGCTGGCTCCTGGCTGTGCAAACACAAAGTGGGAAATTTCCCAGTGACTGGCTGAGGCTTTCTGTGGAGCCCCATGTTCCTGCCATGGCACAGCAATGTGCCTTGGCCACACGGACTGAGGTGACACAGGTGTGACTTGTGACCCAGTGCAGGATTATCCCTGTTTATGGTCTGGCTTGGCCATGCATTGAGGAGGTGTCTGAGGTCTGTAGGAATCAAGTTTATGTTGTCCCCTGACCCCAGCTGGATGCTAAAAATGTGTCCCTGGGCAGTGACAAGCAGGGAAACACCCACCCAGGGGTGTCTGTATCCCCCTCATTCCTGTCCTGTGCGCCTTTTAGGGACAGGAGTGGTTGCCAAAGGGCTGTTGTTGCCTCTGGAATGACAGGGAAGTACACAGGTGGGAGGAAATCAGTGGATGTTTAACCCTGTCCAGCATGGGTGAGCAACATCACTTATCCACAGTGACTAAAAAAGGAGGGAAAATGGAGTTCAGGGGTTTAATGACCTCCCTTTGCCCAGCTGCCCCAAGGTCCAGGGCAAGCAGCATTTCCTCACTCCAGAGCCTGGCACGCTGTCAAATTTGAATCAAAGCTGCCATTCCCATGAACCAGGGTGTAAATCCCCCTAAAATTGTAGTGTAAGCACTCCCGGGGGTGACACTGCAGCTGTCCCCACTCCACAGGCACTTCCATCTTTTCAGGGACGGGACCTCCCGGGTGCAGAGGCAGCGCACACGAAAGCTGCCTTAAAAAAGCCCTGAAATCTCAAAGTAACCACAGTGAGATGGTGTGGGAACCTCCAGAGGTGGATGAGCCCCAGCACCTGGATCCCTCCTGCCTTCATTCCCACAGGGAGGGGTTGTGCCGTACCTGGATCTAGAAATTCATAATCTCCACCTAAAATGGTTTTAATTTAAAGTGAGTTCTTGGCTGATGCTTGGCAGAGAGGATTAAGATGTGAGTGGTTCCCACCAGTTTTTTTTCAGATCTGTGTCACGTTGGAACACTGAAGGGTGAGAGGGAGGGAGGGTCTAACCAAACTTGTCATGGCTCAGGCTCCTCACAGCGAAAGAAGGAAGCAAAAGTATTCAGCTGCATTGTACAAAATTCTCTTTTATATATATATATATGTATATATATATACACACACAAAACCCCGTATCAGACAGATTCACCAGATTGAGTTTTAAAAAGTTGYGTGTAGAAGGGTGTTGGATTTTGTTTTCTCTGCTGGCTTTAGGCAGTGCTGTCACTTGGGAGTGGATACAGGCACCGTGTTCTGGAAAGCAAACCCAGGCACTGAGGAGCAGGGAAGGGCTTGGAGCTGTTTTTTCCAGATATTGCCTGCGACATGCTGGGAACTGAGACTGGGAAAAAAAGCACCATCCCCTCACTGCTCCKGCTGGGAAGGGAAAACCAGGAGGAAAACAGGAGGGAGCCGCACAGGTAAACATCTGCATTGACTGCAACATAAACAAGACTGTTTTTTTGTGCAATGTCTGTTAAAATAACATTTTTGTGTTCAAAACCACACGGCGTGACGAGCGTTGGGAAGTGCAGCAGAGAAAATCCAATGGAACACCTTCCCGCAACGGAACAATTCCATTGCTAGAAACCAAAGGAAAATCCAACTGGAGCAGCTTACAACGTTTGCCAGGGTTTGGGTTTCTCCATCCCCATCCTCTCCCACCCCCAKATTACAAAACATTGGTGCTGGGTTTTTCTTTTTATTACTAAATGGGCTCCTCTGCAATTCATAGACAATCACGGGTGAATTGGAAATTCCATTTTATACAAACAGCTCAAAAAAATATCGGGAGTGAAGTATGGTTAGGAAACACTGCTCATGTTGGGATCAGCGTGCGTGGAGAACAGGAGGAGCAGGTTAGTGCACGCCCCCAGAGCGGAGCATCCCCCCTCCCCAAAAAACAAACAGCAGCCAAATACAGAAAGGTAATGTCCACAAAATTAAGTTTTTCATGCTATTCTACTTTCCAGTGCTCTCCAATCCATGTGCCATGGCCAGGTGGGGAAAGCTGAGGTATATTCCAACAGAGATGCCTGCGCACAGAGGAAAATCCATCTCTGGTAAGGGCTTATTTTTTTTCTTTTCTTTTTTGTTTTGTTTTTTTGCACAAAGCAAGTGCTGCACAGGAATTTCCCCCAGCTCCCATCACTTCCAATTGATCCCAGATCATAGATGACGCCCCCATTTTTAGGCACTTCTTTTCCAAGGGAGTTGTCACTTTGCTGAACCCATTTTTGCCTTCTGGCCCGCTCCCCCCTCCTTGGCCCCCAAAGTCAAGGAACAGTTTTTCCTCTAAGTCCAATTTTTTTCCCCCCTATGGAAAATTTCCTGTGTATAAAATGACAAAGGAAATGTTTAATTAAAGAGGAACAGCCTGACTTGGCAGTTTTGCAAGACAGAAGATGGCTCTTTACTATTTAAAACTAATTTCACAATTTAAATTGGATTTTTTTTGAAGTATACGAATGAGACATAAATATAGGCTTATCAATCTGCTTAAAAATTTCATTCACATCATGGAAAATGTTTTTCATTTATTAAAAATATCACATTTGGAGACTAGAAACAGTAAAGTGCATGAAAAGTTTCAAATAGAAATTCAAGAAAACCTTATAGCAGCAAAAAAGCAGAATAAAGAAAAACTTAAAAACACAGACACGACCTTTTCCTATCACTGTGCCTTTTTTTTTTGAAACATTAAGCAGCCAAACAGATTTTTTTTCAGAAAATTGCATCATGTTTAATGCCTCTTGAGGCACAAGGTTTTGAACTGGCCACCCAGAGCGTTAAAAGGAACGAAAAAAAGGATTTCCAACACATCCAAAGAGCATTAACATTTGGGAAGGAACCAGCAGCTTTTTTTACTTCAGCCCTGACCAATAACAGCTCCTTAACAAATTGAAATCAAGAGGATTTAGAGCCCAAATTTGATCACAGATATTTGGCTATCTTTGGTTTTCTGATAGTATTGAGACACGGGGCAGGGCYATGCCACCAATCATTTATAGTCAGGTATTAAGTGCTTTGCTAATGTGCAAAATTTATGTTGGATGCAGAGTTCAGTCTCCATTTTGGATTCAAACAAACAGTATTTCTAATATTCTTCCTACTAAACAAGCATCTCTAGTTTTGTTTTTCTTTCTCTAAAAGGTTGGCTCAATTTGCCACGTTCTGGAAAAAAGCATTACCTTGAAATACGTTAAATGCAAGTTTTTTAATCTCTTTTGTCCATTTAGAAGTGCAGCTTCCTACTGGAAAGAAAAAGCCAGTTTAAAAAAAAAAAACAAAACAAAACAAAAATTAAATTAAAAACCTGGAAAGGGGAATAATACTTTGGTTCCAGCCCTAGTGCCAAATGATACCAATATGCACCAAAATGTGCAAAATCTCATATCAAACACATAAGGAAAGGAGCTCGAAGAAGCAGCTTAAGGTTGGCCATACTTCACTCCTATATAGTGGGATTTACAAGTGTACAGGTCCGTGAGAACAGGTCCGTGCCCGCTGGCAGGGCTGCACTACCTGCGGGAGGGCAGGTGCACCCCGTTCACCAGGGGCAGCAGCGGCGGGTGGAGCTCCAGCTGCGTTAACAGTGAGAAGTGGTCGGAGGGGATGTGCGGGTGGGGGCAGCCCGTGATGTTGTTGTCCACCAGCCACTGAGGGTCCAAAGGCCCCAGCACTCCGAGCACGTTCATGTGAGTGTTGGAGTAGAAAATGTAGTCAATCACACCCTGTGGAGAGAGTAGAGACAGCGCAGTGAGAGTGGGGCCGGCTCGCCCGGCACGCACCACATCCATGCTCCTTCCAGCTCCATCCTTCCATCTCCACCCTCCATGCACCTCCGTCCTCCTTCCACCTCCGTCCTCCTTCCACCTCCGTGCTCCTTCCACCTCCATCCTTCCACCTCCATCCTCCGTGCACCTCCATCCTTCCATCTCCATCCTGCGTACACCTCCATCCTCTGTATACCTCCATCCTTCCACCTCCATCCTCCTTCCACCTCCATCCGCCTTCCATCTCCATCCTCTGCACACCTCCATCCTGCGTACACCTCCATCCTGCGTACACCTCCATCCTTCCACCTCCATCCTGCATACACCTCCATCCTGCGTACACCTCCATCCTCTGTACACCTCCATCCTCCTTACACTTCCACCCTTCCATCTCCATCCTCCATACACCTCCATCCTCCTTCCACCTCCATCCTCCTTCCACCTCCATCCTCCTTCCACCTCCATCCTCTGTACACCTCCATCCTCCTTCCACCTCCATCCTCTTTCCACCTCCCTCCTCCTTCCACCTCCATCCTCCTTCCACCTCCATCCTCCCTACACCCGAGGCAGCCACCGCTGGCTCCCAGAAATCACTGCTTACTTTGAAGTCAAAGGTGTAATTGGTGTAAGGCATCAGGTTGTTCTCGTAGGCGCTCTTGAGCTGGAAGCCGTGCGTGATCCTGCCCTCCGACGCTCCGTTCTTCCCGTTGCCGCTGAAGTTCATGAGACACTCGTTGTAGCGCAGCTCCTTGAAGTCYTTGTGGTTGTCAGCTACTATGCCATTGCTCAGGTATTCCACAACACCTGTTGGCAAAGAGGARCATTTTATGGATTTGCTCTGCAAGACAATATTCACCTGGGAATGTTAAAAACCAGAACGCCACAAAGAAACGCCATGAGATCAGAATTAGCAAAGCAAAACTCTCTCCTTAGGGAGTCTTCATTGAGAGCTCACATCTTTCCTACTTCTTATTGCTGCTCCAGGCATGGGTATTTATTGGATGATTTATTTAAGACCTAATTATGCTTTTCTGTGCTTTTGTAGGTTCAATCAGCTCTCCTGGAGTGTATAGCCGACCACGAAAAGCAGGTGACTCAATGGCAGGAYTTTTAGTCTCCTCAGACTGATTTCCAGAGAAAGCTGTTCCTAGGAAAGCTTTCATCCACACCTACCCAGGGCAGTGCAAAGCAAGCCTGTCACCCTCAGAGTGAGAAGTGGACTTGAATGTTCTAAGAAGGTAAGTTGAAAATTAAACCAGTCTTACCTGAATCAGGCAGGGAGTTGAGATCCGCACACAGCACCAGAGGGATAGAGTTGAGATCTGCTGTTGGGCTACTGGGCCTGCTTGAGGCTTTCTCCAGGATGTTTTTCAGCTCCGAGACGAACATCATGGTCTGGATGAGTTTCACATCTGAGTATTCGGGGTCCCAGTGCATGTGGGCATTKGCCACGATGAGCAGCTGTTTGTCCACGTGAAGCGATTTCATACCTGGATAAACAATTTCAGCAGTGAAAGGTTCTGWGAATGCAGCGGGTCCTCTCTTGTTAATGCTCAGGGTCAGACACACCAGCAKATGGGTGTGTTTTCATTGCTTAAACCTGCTGAAATGCCTGCACAATGGCCCAGGAAGCTCCTTCCAGCCCTGCAATTTCTCCTCCTCTGAAGCCATCAAAAYCCCAGCCATGCAGACAGAGCAGCGTGGCAGTTTTATCTATGTTGGAATTATCTGCTGCATCTGATCAAACTTAATGAAAATGTGACAGTCAGTMCATCAAGAGGCAGGAAGAGATACCTAATCATCTCCTTCCACATCAGAACGTTAGCACTGACATCTAATCACTGCTGGAAGGAGTCAATCAAGGGGAGGAAAAGRGAGTTGAAAATAGAAGGGGTGAACRTTATTGACAACTCCTGGTAAGAGCAAATGCATGTACACACAGTGACCCTGGGAAAGCTGAGTTGTTCAAGCAGAATTAAACAGAGTAAGCAGGGATAAAAGCTCAAAAGGAGAAATRTAAATGCTGCACATCTTGCTGTGAGCACAACCAGACCAGGAAATCATGTCATCTGTGTCCTGGCTTAGCCACTGTGGCTGGATTTGGCTGCAGCACCAACAGGAGCAGCATGGATTACCCAGCAATAACTCATGCCTATCTGTGGATCTGATACCAGTGAGGACACCACGGAGTACTCACCTGCTCCAAACAATTCCTTGTGCACCTCCAACACCACGGCCACTCCGATGTTGTCCTTGGTCATCACTCTGTTCAACATGGCTTCCGAGCCCTCTGAGTTGGCCATGGCCACCTGGTTGAACTCCACCGTGTGCTTCTGCACCAGCGTGAACCTGGGCCAGTGGGGAGAGAGAGGAGCAGAGCTGTGACACAGCCCCTGGCAGTGTCCCCATGTGAAAACCACCCCTGTGTGCTGCCACAGGCTGCTTCTCTTCTGAACCACTGCAGCTGCTTCTAGACACAATCCCAGCGCTGCATTTCTGTTTCTGCAAGCAGGGAAAAACCCAAAAGGCAGCTCAGGCTTTGAGAAACTTCCACCTCAATTCCTGGAAGCTGTTCTGAGGTTTGAATTGATTTTTTTAAAGCTGCTGCTGGCCCTTACTTTTCCGTTTTGAAGAATATCGCGCAGCCATCCACATGCTTTTTCTCCTGCTCAGACATGATTTTGGCACGTGACTTCGGAGAAAAGAATCCATCGTATCCCCGTTCTTTCAAGGCTGGCAGAAAAAGGGTGAAGTATTGCTCTGTTTCCACTTCCTGGAATTGAACACAAACASCTCAGGCTAAAGAAGTGAAGGAAACCTTTCCTTCTGCCTGCCCTGGCTCGCAGTTAGAAAAGCTGCTGTCTGCACAATCTGTGTCACTTCCTAGATTAATRGCCTGCTGGGAACTGGTGTGCATTCCTGGATTTCCTGAATCCCTCCAGAGGCAAAGTGACAGGTGTATTTTGAATAGTAGTAGATCACATCTGATATTTTTGACAATGAATATGGATGCAGAACTTGTACTGGGAATATCTGGAATTTGCTATTGAGCAGGTGACTACGGTGTTCCCAAGGGAACATTGAATCCTAAATGTGAAGGTTCATGTTTYCTGTTTCTGATGGAAAATGCAGTTATTTTTAATTACCTGAAGACTAATGATATCTGCATCACAGTTGACGATTTCTTCCATGATTCCCTTTTTCCTGTACTCCCAGTTGAGTGCCCAAGATGGGCAGTAGCCGTAGAGCTGCCGGGTGGCGTATTTATCACACAACACATTGTAACACATAACTGTAAATGAAGCTGCAGGGAGACAAAAGGAAAGGTTATCAGTCTTTGCAGATTGAACTCTGGCTTGGGCAAGAGTGACTGGAAGAGTTTGGTAAAACCCAGCACGTTAAAGAAATGACCAGCATCCCACTGAGATGATAAAAACGGTATTTACAGCACATTTTACAGCTAATTTTTCTAGTAAGAATGAACACRAATTGCTATCTTCACTCTGATCTAGAAAAATGAAGCCCAAGACAAGCTTCCCAGTGTGTCATCGTGTGAACATAGGGAAAAGAACCACAGATTTACCTGAGGGCAGAATTTGGTCTCGTTCTTTTAAAGTAATCCATGGCCTTGGAGGCAGCTGCTCTGGATGAACTACAAAAAAAATTAAACCAGTGATTAATTCAGGGTTTCTATTTTTAAGTTACAATTTCTAAGTAACTAAGATAACTGAACAATAGTGTGCTGTGCATCCCCAACTCCCCGAGTTTTCAGGAGAAGCAAAAATCACTGAAGTGAGTAGCTCAGTAAGAGCAAAATTGTAATTTTAAAGATTCATGATTATTTTTGTCTGTCATTTTCAGATTTAGAAGTACCTCTGAAATATTCCTGCACATTGAATGATCAGCTGAAGAAGGAGGGGTAAATCCTGGAACGGTTCAACCTTTCCTTCTCCAAAAAGTTCACCAAGATGCACCATTCCTGCTGTGTCTTAACTTGGGAGACACCGAGTGGCTCAGTTACAGAACCACGGGAGGCAGGTACTGGATTTTCTTAATGCTTTGATGTTTCTTAAGCTAAATTTGCCATTCTGCTTGATTTCAAATGATTATTTCTGGTGAGGAGAACCAAAATGGCTTCAGCAAGGCAAGCTTTGCCCTTGGTTGGTAGGTGGAGGGTTTTAAACTGAACAGTGGCAGAAGCTCAGACAGTGCACATCATCCTCTTCCACTGTGTGTGAGGTGTTTTTTGGGATATGATGGAGCCACCTGACAAAAACACTAAAGCAGGAAGGAAATACCATCCCTCCAGTGGTTCAGAGTCTTGTTTCAGCAGCAAGTGTTACTTTTAAACCCTTTTTGCCCATACCTGCTAGATTGTCAAGCATGTAGTTCAGTAGCTTTCGGGTTCCGTCTGGATCCTGGTAGAGGCTGAGAATATCTTGGGATAAAGGATTGCCTGCCAACAGCACAAAACAACAGCAGGGTGATCAGCTGCCTGCCTTTCTTGAGGCTTTCCACCCAAAGAAAATCTCCCAGAATGAGAACAGATAAATTGATCAGCAGGTTAAAGGGTTTATATCCCTGTCTGCAGAATTGAAATGGGCTCCTAAGGAAGTTTAACAGCATTGAGAAGTATTGTTTTCCCAACTGCCCGGTCATTTTTGCTACAAACTTAATACTTAAAATAACCTGTAAGAAAACCTTGAGCAAGGTTTTGAGCCCAGCCTCCCTCAGGATTCCAGAGAACTCACAGGAATATGGAACTGCAAARAGCTCACCTTTCAAACCCAGGGTTTGCAGCTGGAAGAGCCGTCCAAGTTCATAAGGCAAAACCCGTAACAGATTGTTATTTAAAAGCAATTCCCTGCAGCAAATGCAAAAACACTTTGGGTGAGTATCACTGCAGAAAAGAACTCCTAAGGTGCTGTATACTGCTCGTCCTCAAGGAGAACACTTCACCCTAAATTTTCTTATGGAAAGGTATGGCAATCTCCCTGTGTCAAAGCATGGCTGAAAGACATTCATTAGGGGAAAAAAGCCACAAAAGCCAAGATAAAACCAGGAATGAAAACAGTGATATATTAATGATCAGAAAAGAAGCCCAGTGAACCCAAAACTAATTATTAGAACCAAAGCTCTGCATTAACCTGGAACTTTTCAGGATTATTTGAAATACAAGCACAGAAAACAAACTGAAAATCTCAGTCTTGATCCCACAATAGAGATTTTTGAGAAGTTAACCAGAGTAATTCCTCTCACCTGAGAGATACCATGTTTCCTAGTTCTGCTGGTAAACTTCTGAGTTTGTTGGATGACAGATCCAGGTAAACCAGATTGTGAAGCTTGGCAATATCAGGTGGAATGCGAGTAAGRTTGTTGTCATTGAGGTGCAGAGCAGTCAGATGTGTCAGCGACCAGAGTGATGTACTTAAACTCCGCACTCTCCCTGAAAGAGGAAAGCAAAGAATTCCAGCTCTTCACTCTGGAACCAGTGGATACAGACTGGATCTGGAATGGTCTGGGGCACCAACTGTGGGAATTTAACACCAACTCACCCGAGATCTCTAATTCAGCCCAGTGTGATTTCTTCCCRTTGGCCACCTCTTCYGCTGACATGATGGTGTAAATTCTGCGAGGATCTGGAGGATCATATTTTTCCTTTGGCATCCCTGTTAGTCTGAAAGACCATCACAACTGTTACTCAACAGAATTGCTCCATTTCAATCCCACCATGAGCTGACCTTCCAGGGACACTCCACAACAACACATCCCAAAGCTGGTGTGCAATCACTGCCAGGCTGCCCTCAGCCTGCTGAGCAAAGCAGGTGCTCACACTGGCCACAATTCTGGGATAGAAAAGGGCATTTCCTCCCAGGAAGTTGGGTTTCTGCAGTCATCTACTGCGTTTCCCAGTTTATCCCAATAAGCTATGGAGCTGTTTGCTGTGTGAAGAGCCTGCAGATGAGATCAGAGCGTTCTGCTGTTCCTGCAGAAAGCACACAGGAATTGCTGCCTCCTGCAGCTCGCACAGGGAACCAAAGATTGAAGGGAAGGCTCTTCTTTTCAACATACAAACCCCCACTTTTCCACTTATACAAGGCTTGAAACTGCAGTCTGAGGGGGAATCAGCTCCACTTTCCCATTACCCATCCAGCTTTTGTATTTTGTGCTTTTTCATRCTCGGCATCAGTCAAGACCTTTTTACTCTGAATGGCCCAGGAGCCATAAAAGGAGCTCAGGTAAAGTTCTCATTTAGCTGTTCTGGGGCACAAAGAGCTCCAGCCCAATGCCAAATGTGAATATCAGATACCTAAGGCTGAGCCTGCACACACCAMATTAATCCAATTGTCCTGACTGTCAGAAGGGAGCTCTGAGTCCCATTCAAAAACCATCCACTTCCCAGGRGACACAGGGGGAGATTTTATTCCAYRCCTCCCCAGACTGTTGTGCTGAGCAGGACCATGTGTGATTTAAAAACACAAGGTTAGCTGAATTTGCTGTTTGCTGGTCTTTTCCTCCCCAGACACACCAAATCCAYGAGCCTCGATTTTATACAAATCCAAAGCAGCTGCTCCACAGGATGCAGCTTTTCCCTCGTGCAGATATCTCTCCTACAGCCTGCAGTAGCTGTGAAGCCCTTCAAGGAACTGCAACTCAAATTTGAGCAACAAGTTGAGGGTTCTGTTCACAAAGTCCAACTAACCAAGGATCCCCTTTCCCTTTTGGAAGGTCAAATCCTGTAGCATTTTCCAGCTTCAAAGAACTGCAACTCGAATTTGAGTAACAAGTTGAGGGTTTTGTTCAGCAAGTCCAACTAATCAAGGATTCCCTTTCCCTTTTGGAGGGTCAAATCCTGCAGCATTTTCCAGCTTCAAACAACTACAACTCGAATTTGAGTAACAAGCTGAGGATTTTGTTCACAAAGTCCAACTAACCAGGGATCCCCTTTCCCTTTTGGAGGGTCCTGCAGTGTTTTGTGATGCCAACACCAGCCCAGCATTCTGGCATGGCACAGGAGCAGGAGCTGGCAGGGCTGGCCCTGCCAAGGGTCTCAGTTACAGAACTGCTGCTTCCTTCCCTGATGAACACCCAAGGAAGCTGCAGGGGCAAATGCATGCCCCAGATCTAATTTTAGCCCCCTGTTATTTCCAGGTGAAGTCACAAGGCCAGCAGAGCTGGGTAAGAGGATTCTGTGCTCACACYGCCTGGCACGGGGCCATGAAGGAAACAGTTACTTAAGGACAAGGGATTACACCTGAAATCTTTCCATCCTCATTGCAGAATCCCAAAATGAATAAAGGCCTTTACCCCATACACAAACAGGCTTTGGGAGTGCCAAATTTCTGGTGCTTGGATTTTTTAGGATTTATCTTCACTCTTCCAGTGCCTGAGCAGAAGTGGGGAGCACTTGAAGAGATTCTTCACAGCCCCTGCCAGAGCCACAAGAGCCCCATTCCACCTGCCCTTGCTGTTTAATCTGTCACATCTTGAACTGATCTGTACCTCTACCACATCTGGAGCCCAGACATAAAACTCTGCTGCCCAGTAGCCAGGATTTGGGTGAGTGCTCTGGGATAAAATCCTCAAAACCGTGGTGGTGACCCCTCCCCTGCCCTTCCCCACCAGCACACAGATAACCCCATGACACCATCTGAAAGCTCCAGGATTGCTCCTTGGCAGGACACCCAATGAAATTATGTTGAAATATGGCTCATTAATTAAGAGAAGTGCTCTGCCAACATAGAGCAGTGTGTGGCCATCAGCAGCCTTCCAGAGAAGTGAGCCCTGAGCTGGGAGGCGAAGGACACGCACATTTTTCAGCTGTTAGTCACTTTAATATTGCTTTGAAATAGTGGTGAGTCAAACAGGCAGAGTGTCATTGCCACAGTTACAGAAAGGGGAAAACAAACCTAAATCAAATGCACTTTTTTTTTTCCTTCTGCTTCACAGCAACATTGAGCAAGACTTGAAAGTCACCGTGTGTAGTTTTTTTTAGGCAAAAACTGAATTCTGCCTGGGTTCCCAACTCCTCCCATTCCCTTCTCCCACTCTGCTTGTCCTGGAACTGAAACAATATCCAGAAATCCCAACCTGGWTTTGCTCAGTCTTCAGGCAGCTACACTGAGTTCTCTGAATCCGTTAACTCCAAAATTGGATGTGCATCATTATTTTTTTGCAGGCTTTTCTTCTAAAGGCTCTCCTTGGAAAACTTTGGAAACTTCCTCTCTACTACAGATCTAACCCTGTAAACCTAAATAGTGTAACCTTGATTTTGTGTAAATTAGGCACAAAATTTCTTCCTGTTTTTTGTGTAAAGAAAACCTGAAGGATGAGGACATCAGTGCATTAGTAAGAACAATATTTAAGCTCTGGGAGTTCCTAAAGTAACTGTGTGGGTCCAAGTCTATCCCCAAAAACCCAAGAGATGACTGGCAGAGCAGGATTACTGAACTGGAACCTTAAGTGTGGTCCTGGGTGAGCCTAAGCAGCTCTCTGAGGTGGACATAAAAAGGGCCAGGGCCAGGTTCTGTGTTTCCAGCAGTAGGTCTGTGCCTGCCCTTTCTTTGGGTTTTTTGGGGGTTTCTTTGTTTTTTTTTTGTTTTTTTTTAAGGCTGTTTTATTTTCCGGGTTTTTCTGTGTATGGGGCATTGCTGGCTATCATTTAAAGCCTGGGGGGAAAAAAGGAAAAATGGAACATGACTGAAAGTGTGAGGAATGTCAAAGAGGAAAGGATGAGCTATTGGGTTGCAGCAGAAGCTTTTAATATGAAGAAATGTTTTCTGGGCAACAAACAAGAGGAACTTCTGGGGTTTAGACACACAGGCCCTTCCCCAAGGAGTGCAGAAGATGTGTTTCTTAAATTCCAGTGACCCTACCATGTTTTGTTTAAGTTCTTTCATATCTCAGTGCATAAATGAGCTGTTTAATGAGGAAGCTAATGGGAAAGAGCTGTGCCTGCATCCTGCTGCAGCCCTGTGTTCATGGATGTTCGGCACAGCTCCAAATCCTCCCCTCCAGCCCAGTGACATTCTTTGAGATTTTTTTTTTTTTTTTTCTTTCCCTAGCCTCTGTATGAGTCAAACTGCCAAAGCATTTTGGAAAGTCTCCAGCAGACAGCCCTGGGTTGCTCCTCCTTCCTCTGAGCACAGCTGAGTGTCCATCCCCTTCCATCTGGTGATCCCTCCCAGGAATTACCATCCCACTGTGCACGTGTGTACACACACGTTGTTGAATGTTGAGAAGTTRGGCTGTGAGCTGGAAAACAGCACCATTTTTATCTGTTTATCTAAATGTCTATTTATGTATTTTGTAATCAGGCCTGAGTGGCTGCAAAGGGGGGAGAGGAAAGCTGCTCATCTGCACTGCTCTGTTTTTATGAAAGTGTGCCAGGAGTCTCCCCATTTCAGCCTCCCCATGGACAAGAGAAGCACAGCCAATACCCACAAATGCAAAAACTGCCTTGGAGTACTTTGGGTGGGGAGGAAAATCAGGGGATTGTTCAAGGGTATGTKACAGGGATTTAAAGAAACCTGTCAATACTGGGCTATGTATAGATGTGTTTGCTTAAGGTAAACTGCTGTATCCCTATACACAATATCTAAAGTGTATATACCAGCAGAACAGGGAATTTTTATACTCTTTTGTGTGATCTGAATTTTTTTATGGTGCTTTCCTGCAGGAACATGTCCAACCACCTCTGTGTACCCTGCCTCTCCCAAGAATTCAACGAGCACCCCGAGTCTGCCATTCCAGGTACTGTCTTTTTCCAGCTTTTTATTCCAAGTATTCTGACTGGGGATACAGATCAGTAGGGAATCAAATAGAAATGCCTCATCGTGGCATTTTTATTGGAAAAAAACCCAAACAATTCAAAAATGATGTCTGAGAAGATTTGGAACAGCCTCTGAGGAATATGTGACAGAGCATAAGGAAATTCATGTAGGGAATGGGGAAAGGTAAGAGGTAACCAAGAACCCAGAGCTGGCAATAAATTCAGTGGTGCTGGGATCCCAGGGGGCTCCACGTTATCTCTTCAMCAAAGATCAGAAAAACCCAGAGAGGCACAGACAAATCATAAAAGCAAACCAGCAAAAGCCAAGGGGAGGAGTGGGAAGGGAGGGAAGGAGCTGTGTTTGATGAATTCCAGAGCCAACTGGCACTCACTTGATGGAAATGCTAATTGTGCCACTGACAGACACCCACTAGTTATTCCCCCCATTCCCTCATCTCTAAATGAAGCAGTCTTTTCTTAAATCACAGGTAACACAAGAATATTCAGGTTTCCACCCTTCCTTTTCCTCCATGTACACCCCCACTTCCAGGACCAGCTGAAATGTGTGTGGAAATCCTATAAAGCATTTTACACAGCTTTTTATTGCTGTGCTTGGTTAGCACAGACCTCACCCCAAAAGAGCAGCTCCTGCTCTGTTGGAAGCAGCCTGTTCCCTCTCACAGTGTGCATGACAACTCTTGAATATCCACATCAGGTCACCGAGTGATACCTGCTTTTTTTTGTGCCTTTTACACTTCATGCTTTACATGCAGAAACAGGRCAGGCTGCTCCCCAAAAGTAAGGCTCTGCTTACCAGAAATTCATGCAAGGGGCTACTGTGGGCAAGAAGAATTTCCAGCAGCCAGCCTGTAAATAAATCTCCTCAGAAAGCAACCCCAAATGGCTGGTTTCAACAGTGTACTTATTTATTTACACAAGTATCTTGCACTGTTTCAGAGAAATGACCCATTTGCAATGCTGCTCCATCCCCTGGAGAGTGCTGGGCTTCTAATGAGATCCAGGACAGAGTGGCTTAAAGGATTAGGAACTGAAGTCACCAGGAGTCTGGGGAAGGAAGAAACCAGTGCTGGATCAACACAAAACGCTGTCCTGGGCTCTGGGTGTGAAAAGAGGCAGCTATGTGTGGCTGAAACTTAAAGGATATRTTTTCCTAGAACTGGGGGAGACAGAAAACTGCCAAAAGCAAGAACAGTGTGAGTGTCCCTCATTTTATTGCCAAGGCTGATCCAATGACCATTCAGTCCCTCCTGAGAAATGGCACAGACCCTGCTCAGGTTGCTGCTGGGAGCCAACACCGTGTCTCATTGAACTCCTCAGGATCAATAACTGGAGAGAAGTCAGCTATTGACCTGGTTTTAGAGCAAAACCATGCTGGAATTATGAATCTGTGCACATTTCAGGAACTCGGGAGAGGTCTTCTCAATGAACCTTAAGATACAGTTGGACTCCTCAATAACCTTTTATCCTTCAAAGAAAGTTTGTGCCAGGAGAAAAGAAATGAGATTATTTCCACAGCCATCTGTGTCATCTTCCTTTTTCAGTGGGAAATTGCCAACACTTCCACAAAATAAGTAAACCCCAGCAACACTTCATTTACTCTCCCTCTACTATCCACAGAAACCTGCCACTGTAAAACTTAGTTCAAACAGCTTTAGAGTTACAAGGCTTGCCTTGTTCAATAAGTYTGGATGAGTCAAAGCTCAAGATTTGAAAAGAAAGGAGGAGAAAAAGAAAAAAAAAGCCAAAGGAAAAAGTACACACCGATAGTGGAAACTGTTTTGCAATCACTGGCACAACAAATGAGCCTTTTCAGTTTGGACAGGTTATRGGATGTTGCACCAGTGCTCAATGTAGTAGGGTTTGTATGCTCARGAGAAGGGATCTGTTAAAAAGAACCCAGTTTACAGGCATAAACCCTGTTCTCCAGAGGGTCTATTTAAATGTACTTTGCATTTTAATCTGAGAAGAAGAAAAGTTTGCCTCGCAGCCTGTGCAAAGCATATTATTTGAATATTGAAAGATAGTTCAGCTGCTTCTGTATCTGATTATCCCAGTGTTTCCCATGAGTGTTTAAACCATACTTCAACTTCCAAACAGAATCTCYRAATAGTTTGGGTTGGAMGGCRCCTTAAARCCCTTCCAGWTCCACCTCCCTGCCTTGGACAGGGACACMTTTCACTGTTCTCCATCCAGCCTGGCCTTGGACACTTCCAGRSATGGGGCAGGCACAGCTTTTCTGTGAAGAGGGGCTGAACTTGTGTGGGTTTTTCTGTTCAGCCACCCAAAGGGATTTCACTAAAGTCAGAGAATATCTTCGGCAAGTTTTGCCATAGTTTTTCAAACAGCTTGGTTTGTTTTCTGGTGTTTCTTAACATACTGGCATGTAAAAGGTTAATTACAAAGCTCTCTGAATAAGAGAAATGCAGTCCAARGCCCTGGTGTACAGAAATGGGGTGTAAAGGAAGAGCACACACACAGTGGGTAAGTGCAAGAGGCAGGTATGGATTCAGGAATGCTGAAGCCTTGTACACAGCCTGAGGTTTCAGCCACGTCATTTTCCMAGCAGAAAATACCTGTGAGTTATACTCATCTCCCCATGTCCAGAGTTGTTTTGCTCAGACCTGCAGCTGCCATGAAATAAATGGCCAATGAMTTTAAAACTGAATTATTCCACCTTTATGTGCACAGGAAGCACCTGGGGATTTCTAGAGCAGGCAGAAAAACACTTTGCAGTTCAGCATAGGCCTAGTCTCAAACCTGGTCTATCCACAGGTCTCAAAATAACTTATCAGATAAAAGATGTGCTTCTCTCATCCCCTCAGAACATTCCTAATTTCTCTGATGCTCCAGTCTAAGGAGGAGAAGGAAGAGGCTCATTGCACAGGTACCAACACGTGCCTGGAGATTTACCTGCTCCCAGTGGCAAGATGTGACTTGGATGGAAGAAAAAAACCTGAGCCTGGTTCTTCCTGGCACCTGGGACTGTTCTGGTATGTGAGAATTATCTGGCCCTGCTTTCCTTTTGCTTTCTTAACCTTCCAAAACAAAAAGGGATTAGAGGAAAGGCGTTCACAAGTGGAAATGTTGGCTGGGCAGTCGTTCATCCTGTGCTAGCTCTTTACCACTGCCAAGGCCAGTTGTAAATTAATGTGACACAATAACTACAAATTGAATTTTAAGGTATAGAGGAAGCAGAAAGAGCTAAGGATATTCTCCACGTGCCGAGGCTGACTTGGATAAAGGACATTTTTTTGTGGGACATACACACTCCCCTTGTGGTACCACACAGGATGGTGATATCCAGCAAAGCACACAAAGTATTTCTGCTTTCCCCTTTTCTGTTTTCCTGAGACTATCCTGGGGAAAAAAAAGAGCTACAAATCTGCAAAAGRGWGTCTTCRGCACTCTCTCTAGATRGTGTTTAAATCCAGACTTTTCRAAGGGCCTTTAGATTGATTTCTTAGGAAGAAAAAAAAAAAAAAGAAAGCAAAACTAATTTGTGATTAGAAGGCACAAAGATGTTCACTCAGATGGAAGCATTCCTGAAAAGCAAGGGAAAAACTACCCGAGCAATTCATTCAGCTGCCCTAAAGGGTAAACAGCAAAYTTGAGCACCATCCACAAATCCTGATTATTATTAACAGCTTGACCAAAAGCTTATGAGTTTTGTACTTTTCTTTGTACTCTTGGAATCTGATGAACTAAAAAAAAATATGTTTGTCACCAAAGCAAAGAGAAAAGTCCCTCTGCAGCAACAAAAAGCTAAACATTCCTCCCTCTCCTGCAGCCCTGGAGCTGCCTCTGCCCAGGAATATTTTCTGCCTTTATAAAAATCATGTAAGATGTTTAATTGGGTCTTTTCTTGCAGGCAGTTGGGAGTAGCAGTCTGGAGAGCTGTTGATTTGCAGTAATAATTGTGGAAAGGTTGGTGGCCAGGATAAAGAACACTCACCCAGGAGCTTTGGTTCACATTCCCAGCACAGCCTCTGGAGACTACAGGTGGGTGCATAACTTGAGAAGGGGAAAAACTCACAGAAAAGGAGCTGCCTCCGGTGGTTTCCCAGCCCTAAAAATTCCTGCTGCTCCTAGCTGAGGGCACAGGAGATTTCCCTTTATGCTTTGCTTAGGGTAAGGAACAATCCCGATTCACATCAGCAGGGCTGAGGCAGGGTGCTCTGAAAAATTTGTCTCTTCAAGTCWAAAATTTCCCAACCCTCAAGCTGCAAGTGGGGGAACCCAAAACTAAACTCTTGCTGAAGGGATAATTTTAAGTTAAAATATGCACTTACACCTCAGCCTTCATATCCTGGAAATCTGCATTTGGCAGATTTTATTCTTTTTTTTTTTTCTTTTATTCATAGAATAAAAGAAATTCGTGGCCCTTTTATTCATAGTTTGTTTTTCTCAGAGAAAACACCAAGCTCCCTCCCAGGTAATCAAAATGGGCAAGACCATCCACCAGGTAGTAAATGCTGAGCAGAAATGGTGTGGTGCAGTCATAAACAGTGTTTATGAATCATTGACACCAGGAAATGCCAGAGCAGGGGTGAGCACACACAGCCATCCCTGCTCCATGTCTGCACAGGTTAATTTAACCAGGCTGGGCTTAAATTACTCGTGTGCAGGACACCCAACACTCAAGAGTTCTGTTCTGCTCCCAAAATCCCTGTGTTTGCTGACTGCACCTGACTTGTAGCTACAATTGCTCAGAGCTGCTTTTTCTTCACCTTTTTCTTCACCTCRTAGAACACCACACAGTGCATTTCTGCCAATCTTTAATTCTGTTTTCCATGACTACCTGTCAAATCACTTTCTGGTGGTGGCTGAACACTCCTGAAGTTAAACCTCTGTAGGGAAATACCCAACACACTGCAAAGGATGTTCTTTTAAACAGGACTCCAGAAGGACTTTGTTCCACTGCCCTTTTATTCAGAGTAACTTCACTTGTGGTGTTTTTTTCTMATTTTCAACTCTGAGAGAGGAATTTTCCCTCTGATAACAGCACCCAAGTGAGGCCCAGCACCTTGCCATTAGAGGTAAGTGTCACGTAGGCCTTTTGTGAATTTACTAAGCTGCCAAAAAAGCCTGTCAGCATGTTCAGCTAAAGGCCTTACACGGTGCTCTCTGTGTCCYGCTCCCACATCTGAAGGCACAAATGGATCCTGCAAATCCTCTGCATATTGAGGTCTTTTCACCATTTCCTGCCACACACTTCAGTTAAATTTAAGCTGGTATTTTTGGGGTGCTCCCATGGTGGGAATTTTGATGACACAGCCCTGAGGTGCACACAAGCTTTATAAGATGGGGAAGAAAAGCAGTAGAATTCCAGAAATATTGTCACCACCTAAGGATCTTGATAAAAAAACTCTTTTTTTTTTTTTTTAAATCATTACAGGTGAAATGGAGAAGCTGCACAGACAAATCACTGGAAACCCAAAGAATTAATCAGAAGGTGAAGTTACACCACACTGTCACTGTAAAAGCACCCAAGCCTTGATTACAGCCTGTCAGCAAGAGAACCACAGAATCTGGACAAAAAAAATATTACAAGAGGCTTAGCATTTAATGCTCTAAAGCACTAAATCCACAGCAAATCCTCCTGAATCTAAATATGCCTAAGACATATTTTAACTTTTTTTAAGTTTTCACAAATGCCATCTTATGCTCCCAAAAAAATTAAGCTTCGCTTTTACTTTTGCTTTCTCAGTAGTCTGCAAAYAGGGTTACATCCCGTGCCTCGAGTGCCCTTTTGGCACCCCAAAAAGCTCTTTCCAATAAACAGTAAGTAAAAAGTAAGCACTTACTGGATTTATCTCCCTTTTTAAACCCAACTAACCCAAAAATGTCCAGCAGATTACAGCTGACAGAAGCAGAACTTTTTGGGGGCAGTTCAAGAAAGTGCTTGGAAATCATGMATGTTACTGATGCATGATTTTATCACTTAAAACCCTGAGGAGGGTTTTAATAAAAATAAAGAAGTACACASCCCCATTTGTGCACATTGATGGAACAAAAAAACCACTGGCTGCTGAGATCTACCTAACTCTAAGTTTTAATTCTTGGTGGTTTAAATTTAAATTAAGTAGACTGACACAGTGTGGAAATTAATTAATTTTTCTCCACTGGTGCCTTGTCATTTTTCTAACAGAGTGTACACACACACCCTGGGATCACTTTCTGGCTTATTTTTCCTAGGATTGGTGTGAAAACTAAACTTGGTCAAAAGCCTGCCTGGCTTTTTGTAAAAGCAAGGTTGTTAATGAACACAACAAAATAAGCCCAGTTTATCCCATGRAATACAGGATCTATGAACATCTTGGGATGGAAAGAAAACAGCCATAAGGTCACTTACTTCTACAAGAGAATTTCCTCTGAAATTGGAGCTCCTACAGATTGTGGATGGGAAGAGGAGAGCCACACACAGCAAACACACCTGGAGCAGCCGTCCCTTCCCTTCCAAAGGAATGCCTGAGCAAGCTACATCCCTGGGACAGGGAAAAACACCCTTTAGAAAACGAAAACAAGCTCTATCAGTAAAAGTGCACCTCTGCAGATAACTGCTCCTGCAGCTGGGACTTCTGCTGGCACAGCTCTGTCAGTCACGGGTCACACTCCGTCACTGCACACAGACAGAGCTGTGCCAGCAGAAGTTTGCTGTGCAGACCCGGTGGGAAACACTGACAGGGATCTGCAAAGTTTTGACTTTTTTGTGCTTTTTGCAACAGTCTGATRAGGGGGAGTCTCACCCTGACAAAAAATAATCTAAACTTCCAAGAATGGCAAAAGACTAAACTTTGCACAGGAACACCTACGGGCCATTTACACTGAATTTTATCCTTCAATTAAATACACAAACTAAATGAGAAAGARCCCCTGTAGGAAGAAAAGATAAAAGGGAATAAATTAAATTGTGCTGTACTTCAGCACTAGGAGCAGCCCTTCCTTTTAATAGTAAGAAGAGAACAAAACTGAAAGCGTTTAACGGGATTTGTTTAGCAGGCAGCAGAGCACTGCAGAATTTCCACTGTTCCATGAAAGCCAACAGGARCACTGCTACGGTGCATCCTCAGTCACCTCCTGAGGAGATTTAACGCCTGAGATGGAGCTCAAACACAAGTTCTGTTTGGGTGAACCAACACGATCCTGCAGGTTGGTGATGTGGATCATTATTCCACAGCACAGAGGAGCGAGGTGACAGCAGTGCATGCTGTCCATCTGCTCTGGAACAAAATTTTAAAATCAGGCAGGAAATGCCCCACTCAGTGGGGAGGGAAGCAAGCCAGGGAGCAGGGCTCTGTCCAGGATGTCAGGTCAGGCTGTGGTGCTCACAAAGCAAACCTCAGTGTCCCGTTAGCCTGGATCTGCTGCACTCCAGGACAGGGATGTTTGACTGGACCCATTTCCTTAWTTTTCACAGAAAACACAGAAACAAATTATCTGGCTGTACCATCTTYGTAAAGGCCGTGCTCTGCCTTCACRAKGGCTCTCTGGCCCTCYRAACTGGGATACAGCTTCTAGGAATTCCTTGAGTTGTGTCACGCTGTTGTTAGGAATAATGTGCTATTTTTTTCCTTTTTAAAAATAAACACGTTACCATCGCTTTCATTATCAGCCATGTCTACACACCACGAAYGACTTCAGGGTGGGTGTTTGCCCCTCTAGGTTAGTTTTGGATTGTAGGGGAACTTCACAGAGAGGGGAGGGCACAGGTATGGAATTAAKTGTAGCAAATTCCCTGCTTAACCAAGGCCGTCTAAAATCCTTATCAGCATGCCAGCTCAGGAGAAGTTGTACCTCCCGAAAACAAATACTCAGCCTATGCAAAGTTTCCAAAATGACCTGATAAAAGCCACTGGGGTAAAGATTTCCAGAAGGTCAGATAAAAACGTCTGGGAGCAACAGAGCCCTCCACCAGGAATATTTAGTTTGAAAAGCAACCCCCTACCGTGACAAAAACTCAGTGTTTAGGTGTGTGCTTTCATTTGCTATCACTACCGCCTGGGCTGGCAGCCCAGCTTTTATGGCAGGTGACACTCCTGTCATCTTCCTCCTACGGAACTGCTGCGGACCACTRAGAAACCACTGGGAAAAGGAGGCGAGAGCAGCGTCTCCCCGAAACATCTAACCCCAAAAACACCCCAGACACACCCGTGACAACCCACYGGGGGTCACCCGCAGCGCCAGGCCAAGGTCCCAGCACGGGAAGGGGACTTGGGGACAATCCCATGGCCGGGATTTGCCCCATGGCCGAGGATCACCCCACAGCCACGGGTCAGGCCATGGCCGGGCTGAGTCCCGCGGTGAGGATCACCCCGGGGCTGGGATCTGCCCCTCCAGTGGGTTCGTCCCGCGGCGGGGATCTGTCCCACGGCTCAGGTTCACCTCACGGCCGCGGTTCAGGGCCGGGATTKATGCCAGGGCCGATCTTCCCCCCACACCCGGAACCGGCCCCACGAGCACGGCTCGCCCCACGGCCGCCAGCCGCGGCTCCGTAGCGAGCACAGCATCCCCTCGGGCAGCGCCGCCGCGGCCTCCGAGCCCGCCCCGCGGAGCCGATCGGCTCTCCCCGCGGCGGGGGCCGTGCCCGCTCCCCCCGCACACGCGGCCCGG